GACGTTGTTCTGCATCATGAAGTTGACAACCGATTAAAGGTCTGCAAACTTGTTTGCCATTCTCTTCATCTCGCTGTCCCTCCTCAAGCATCTATCTTTCCATACCTAGAGGTCAGTTTCGTTGTAGTACTCGTCTTGGCCTGCTTTCTTCAGTGCGTCTCCCTCTTGACCGAAGTCTTTCTCCCTGGGATTCTGATCTCATGTTCCTTCGTCATGGTTTTCTTCCTCCATGTTTGGGTCGGTATGCTTGCCATTACCACTAGAGATGTCATCCCCGATCTTTTCTTTCTGCCCGTCGTTGGCCATCTATTCTCCTTACGTTCCCACAGACGGCGCCAAATTGTAGGTGTTGATTTTTGACCACACAACCAAAAGGAGAACTCAATTGGAGAATACCGACAGAATAGATTAAGCTCAACAACCTACACAAGAAGATGAGAATCCGGCAGTGGTTCGTCCACTCAGGGGTACTTCAACGATCAAGTCAGTAATCAATATCTCTCTAAGATAGCTAATTGTGCTTAACTCACAGGAAATAATAGTATATCCCCATCAAAGGCATACCTTAGACCCACGAGGGTGCCATGCTTTTATAGCCAACACTGACCTGGTCCCTACAGAAGCCTCATCTAAGTGGACTCAGGCTCAATGTTTATCTTGGGCTCTCAGCTAGACAGGGATAAACTCCCTAAGAGTTTCATCTTTATCTAAACTAAGGTCCTCCCATATTCTAAGACTCTGCTTGTCCCTTATCCGATCATCTCGGATATCGATATCTCCGCTGAAAATCTCAAACCTCGGTACTAAGACCAGTCCACGTGACACCTCAACTGACATTTCGGCGTCACCATTGGCCACGTGTTGTCATTCAAAAAATATGTCCCCATACAAGGAATTGCATTTAGAATGATATTGAACATTGAATTTGTTGGTTGATTCATAGTTTGAATTCTACTTAATTTTTTTTTATTTTGATTTAATTTAGTTGTTATGTATGGTAACTACATGTACTTTTTATATTATATGATTGTTATATGTTATATAATTGAAATATCATTTGTTTCAAGTGCTTATATTTCAACATTAGTTTTCTTTTAAAATTTAGAGTAAATTACATCGATAGTCCCTAAAATTTGTCCCTTGTGTCGTATTGGTTCCTATACTTTTAATTTGGCTCAATTTTGACCCTTAATTTTTTAGATTTTTATGTCAATTTGATTTAATTGATAATGACATTAGGATTTTGGACGAAAAATGATTACTAGGTTGATATTAACTCAGTAAATTGATAAAGTTTATAAATTTGTCCTTACGTGATACATGTTGCTCATATACGCATTTTTCATTAAAAAAAAGTAACAATTATAATGAACTGAATCAAATTAGAACAAAGTCAAAAATATATAATCAAAATCGAATCAATTAAAATTATATGAACCAAAATGACATAAAAACAAAATAAAAGAACTATCAGTGCAATTTATCCTAAAATTTAATTTTACAAAAAAGATGATTTTGAGACAAATAAAATAATTATAAAATTTAATTTCTATACAATTTTTTACTTAATTTTTCAACTAATCAAACCTATTATTTCTTTTAGCAAATGTGAATTTTATTTCTATTTTTTTCACTTCTATCCATTTACTACAATTGAACTCAACAGAAAACGATGGATTGTTTCAAATATTATTTTTTATTTTTTGTTTTGTTTATAGATTTTCTCTTAATTTTCCAAAGTCAACTTAAAAGTGTTGTTCTACACTTTTTCCACATAAAACAAGACCACACAGCTTAACGCATGCACGTGTTTCAATTTTTTTTTTTTTATAAATAAAATAAATAAAACGGTGCCGCTGTGAATTGCCGTTGTGCTGTGACAGCACCTACCCCGCTTCATCATTTGATGGGCTTCACATTCAGTTGAAAGTAATTTCATTCAAAATCCATCATAGTTTATAGTGTTGTAACCATTATCAATTTGGCTATAGTTTTTTTTTTAATATACATTTTAATGGCTCCGTCACCTTTCAACAAATACATCATGGTATATTGTAGCTTTTGTAGAAGGGAACTGTTGGTGTATATATGTACTTTATGTTATTTTAAAATTAAAATTATGTTTATGTTTAGAATAATGATTGAGATTTTTACAAAAAATTCACTCTACAATCTCCACATCATCCTATGTGAGAGAGAGGAAGAGAAATGTTTGGGAGCCCCTCTGGGGATGACCCCCACACTTCCAAAGTGATCCTGACCCTTCATATATACTCGTGTATGTATGGGATCTATATCATGAGTGGTCTAAATTTGTGAGGGTCTTGTAGAGATCTTGTGAGGATAGGGGCCTTAATCACTACTCAGAGAGGAAAAACGAAAACACACATGGACTAATCACACATATTTAGAGGTCATGAGGGTCTCCAAATTGGGGGTTCCAAGCTTTTTCCATTATAGTATATTTATGTGTAGAGTAATGTTAGGGACTCCAAATAATCTACTAAATATTTTACCAAATCTCTCATATAGATGTGAGACTCACACACGTTCATAGCATTTTCTTTGTGTGTATACATACATAATTAAGTATAGTTAATAAATGCATAATAATGCAATATGATAAATTGAAAGGGTAACCAATTGGTGAGTTATAATTATATTTCATGTGAAAGGTTATGAGTTACCTGAATTTATTATTACATTTTAATATGAGACTCTTTATTTGTTCGTGGGTGCATATAAATTAGAGCTTGTGCATCTATATTTTATATGGAGAATTGTGAGTGTATCTATATATATTTATTTTATATTGTGTTTATACATATATAAATAATTAGACAATCTATAAAAGGTGTTTTTATGATAAAATTTTGGACTCATCTACTTGTACTGGGTTGGTGGAGTCAACACAACTAAAAGTCGGATTGTTGTTTTTTGGAAAAGACAGGCTAATATGCGATATTCTGTTACATCGGAAAGTGGTAACTTTAAAACTTTCACGGATTAATTTTTGATTGTCTAGATATTAAGTAATTCAAATCTAATTAGACTGAGTTAGCCAGGAGACATTTGGATTAAAACAAAAAAACTACCATGGAATTTATTTATTTATTCATTTTTCGTGTAGTTGGTTGTTCAATGAAATGGTGGAAGTTGATTTTGTGTTGTAAGAGGGAGATGATTGGGAAACAAAATTGAGTAAATGGACAAAATTAATCATAAAATGATGTTAAAAAGTCTAAATCATCCTCTCTTTTTTTCGTTAGTTCGATAAACCGAAGCAAACATATGATATACATTGTTATAAAGTTTTAAACATTCAAATTTAAATTAAAAAAATTAAAATTTTAAGATTTAAATCAAATTCTATTTTTTTATGTACTTTTTTAAAAAATATATACAATTCTATTTCATCATTTATAATCAAGCAATTTTAATTTGATTTAAATTATAAATTATATTATGTGAAAATGAATAAAAATTCAATTATAGAATATCTATTCAATTTTCTTGGAACACCAATTTAGTGGTATGTTTGCCCAATAATAAAGGTTTATTTAGGTTGTATTTGAATCATGAATTTGAATATAATTTTTCAAATCTCTATCTAAATTCAGTATTTCATAGTCCTATTATAATTACTACCTCAGCAAAATAAAAAAATAAATAATATAGACAAATTACATATTAGTTTTGGTTAGGCACATACCATTAGACAAATAAGGTGTCATTTTAAATAAATTTTAACTCGAGTAGTTGAATTATATAATTTGTTAAATTGTCTTACTATGATTTTAAAAAAAAAAAATCAACAAAATTATTATAAAAGACATATATAATTGAAAAACCAGACCCCAAATCAGCATTCAAAACCACGTACTTCATCTTTAAAATGGTCCACGGCCCAAGTGGTGAGCCACCACCAGCACCAAACAATAAATTGTGGGGTCCACACGTTTTGGGCCACCAGCTTCCTGCTTTATCGACCAGGGACCCCACCCCACCCATATCAAAAAAAATAGTACAGGTTGTGCAGCATCAATTGAAGGGGCTCATACTTTCAGATTGTCTCGACTCATTAGTGAGTGTCGTTACATAATTACTTAGAATCAGATTATAACAAAATAAATTTTTTGTAAACTTCTTAGTCCCGTCATAAATAATGTGTCTTTTTTTCTATATATTCTTCTTATTTAATACATTGAAGTAGATCTCACTATAACTTGATACATTTTAACATTTTTGTTAGAGTACCCCTTCACTCCCTAATCAATAAACATTTAACAATAGGGGTATTTGTTTGGATTTTTTTGAGTTAACTTATGACTTCTGAATTTTAAAAAGTTATTTTGAACTGTTTAGTTAAACTTATTTCAAACAGTTTCTAATTCTAATAACTTATTTTAAGTCAAAAATTGATTCTGAGAAACTGTTCACCCCTTACTTTTAATTATCAATTTTTGCTGTGAACATATTAATTTACGACTATATTCTTAAATTTTTTTTTCTTTTTTTTTTTAAATAGAAAAAGACTCAAATGAACTATAGAATATTATTATTATTTTTTATAAGAAATATAGATAAGTAGTGAATAACAAAAAATAAAAGTTAATTGAAAAAGTTACTTCACAATTTATTTAACAAACACTACTCAGCAACTTAAATCTACAATTCAATAGTTACATCAAACAGATTAACAACTTCTGATTAAAATCATAATCTATAATATGTTAAATTATAATTTATAATCTGTTTTAACAGTTATACTAAACAGAAGCAAACAACAGTGAATCTCACTTTACTTATTTCTATCCACATTTTAACTGATACTTTTCATCTACAATTTCATCTCAATTGTAGATGTTGTACTTTTTTTAATTGAGCTAAGAATTACTTTATGACAAGGGTTCTCATTGATATAAAAGGAAGGCCTATTTCCATAATTGATCTCTCAAACAAGTGAAGCTAGCATGAGTTAAACACTCAACAATTTAAAATGCTAATAAAAAGTCTAAATACCATTTTATTTTTTATAATTTTAGCATACATAATGTTGAAACATTGTTTCAACTTCCATTTGAAAAAAAAACAAAATCTAAAGCACAAAGGTTTATTTACAATTACATGAGATCATGAGGTTACATTTGCAAATTCCTAGTACTCTTCGAACAAAAAACAGAATATCAAAAACAGAGTGACAGAAAGTTTGTGGTCTGCTTTGCATGTAAGAATAGAGTTTGAGCAATCTCTTCATGATTTTGAAGAACCAAACTGTATTTGTTGATTTCCAACTCTACCCATAAACTGCAATTCCTTCTTATCATAAATCTCCAAAGAAAAGCCCCTCAACATCTGAGCTTTGATTCCCCTAGAGCTCACGCTCGCCGGAGCCATACTCGACTTCTTCGTCGCCCCCTTTACTTCCACCGTATCCACCGTCTCCGACGTCATCACACTCCCGTGCACCGCCGTCGACGGTGGCACCACCCTAACTTCCGACGCGTTAGGCTGCGCCGCCGATACGAACGACGAGATAGGCCTAGCTGACATGTTAAAAACTGGAGTCACCGACGGCGATATAGTCCATAACTGTGGCGTCGCCGCAGGAGCCACCGGTGTTGCCGCCGCGGAAGGCGGCGGAATCATCCAGAAGGCGTTGGAGGGTATCATCATCCCGGCGTTGCTCACTGCCCAAATGGGAACCAGCCCCTGAGGCGCCGCGGCGGCCACTGGTGTGGGTCCCATCGGAGCTAGCCCCGCCGCCTGGGAAACGCCGTCGTTCGAGGCCGCGACGTCGTAAAACTCGCTTTTCGAAGATCGTCGCCTCCTCTTTGTGAGACCACCTCCTCCTTCTTCGCCGCCGCCGTCTTGCTTGGTGGAAGTAGTGGTGGGTATTTTGAGGGTCCCACCGACGGAGACGGCGATGGCGGGGACGGTTCCCGTGCCGGTGGCTTCGATTATGGATTGCTCGGCGTGTTGGAGGAGCCACCGGACAGTCTCGCCGTCGGACTTGTGGCCCAGCTCCCGGGTCAGCTGAAAGATCCGGGCCGCGCACGTCGCGGGTATTCGGATCCTCCGACCGCGTCCCTCAACCTTCGTGTGGCGGTCCTTGGTCGACGACCGCCGTGCCGTGGTGGCGACAGGCATCGGCATGTGGATTGGCAGCTGCATCTGCATCTGCATCTGCATCAGTGGCACCATCCCAATCGGTTGAGCTTGTGGGTTGTTGTTGTTGTTGGATTTCTGATCCGGTGAGTCCGAGTCGGACTGAATCGGTTCTTCCTTCAAAACGGGTTGGGTCGGCGCCGTGGTTGGTTCGCCGGCGCTGGTGCTGAGATCGGAGGTGCCACCGTCGTCGTCTGGTTCGAACCCGTGCTCTTGAAACGACGACATGTGTGAGCCAATACAAAAAAATATAAACACCCAGATACTTATTTGGTTATAAAAATGAAAAATAAGTGAGAAAGTGTAAGAAAACTGGGGAGGAAGTTAGAGACTTTTGTGGGTTGGTGGTATTATGAATCATGGAATTAACCATAGAAAGGAAGAACGAAGAAAGGGTTAATTAATTATAATTGGAAACAAACAAACAAACCTTAAGAACCCAATTCTGATGGCGCACACTTATGGTGTATTTGTTCGGAGAATTTAAAGAGAGATTTAGAAAGAAAAATAAATTTAAAGAGAGATTTAGAAAGAAAAATAAAAAAAATAAGAGAAATTTAATTTTACATATTTTTTTTTTAAATCTCTTTTTAAATCTTTCGATCAAATGAGAGAGAGAGAGAGGAGAGAGAGAGACTGTGTAATTTTTGTATGGTGGGGGTGGGGGTTGTGGTGGGCGTGGGAGGGGGAAAGATCAACGGTCCACTTTGCATGATACTGGGGTGTTGAAACAATGGAATAGTGACACGTGTTGAGCTGGAGTATGGTGGCCATTTTTGTTTTAGTGTGTTGGTGTCCTTTTCTATCTATCATGTAGGGAGGGGGAGGAAGGACCACAGTGGAGTGGGGGATTCGGGGGGGAAGAGAGTGACGGGTGGGGTCGACCAATTAGCTCCCACAGTGGTGTCGGAAAGGTCCTGAAAAAGATTTCAAATTGTTGATGCAAATGAACGGATGTGATTGGTTGAGAAACCTTCAACTCTTGGTGGTCCATGCAATAGCACAAAGTTAGAATCTTCCACACTTGCATTTTATCTTGATTTTATTAGGTAAATTACAAACACTTCGAGATTTGATAAAAATATAAATTTTTTTTTGATGTTTAAAAAATTATAAATTATTTTCAAAAGTTAAATTTTCATAACAAATTAAAAAAAAATTAGGGAGAATCTGTACGAAAATAAAAACTTTAAATAGCAATTTGTTATGAAAATATAAATCTCAAGAGTAGGATGTAATTTTTCAAACCGTAAGGAAAAATTTATATTTTTACCAAAGTTCGAGGGGGTGTTTGTAATTTGCCCATTTTATTATTAGTGCAGTTACAAGTTACACTGGGTTGGGTTCTCAATTTAAGCCCAACAAAAATATGAAATATCATACAAAATCTATACTTTTTGGGTCAAGTCTAATAGAGAAGACATTGCAGAAGTTCGGCAAAAATTGGGCTGTCTAGGGATCTGCCTACAGAGTTTGGAGTGTTTAGCTAATGCTAATGCATGCTGAAAAATGACATGGTTTATTTGTCTATGTATGACAGTGAAAAGGTAAGTAGTTTAGAATTTAAATCGGTTGAATGACTACAATCTTTTTGTTTTAATCTAACTTACTAATTTGGTTTCAAAAAAAAAATCTTACTTACTAATTTGCTTTTTTTTTTTAACAGTAACTTACTAATTCACTTACATCCAATTCGCTTTGTTTGGTTATTTATGCTTTTCTGAAAAATCTTAATTGAAATAAAAATAATAATTGAAACATAATTGCTATGTAGGATACAAAATACTCAATATAATGTGTAGATTTAAATTTAATATGGTGTGAGACGTTTATAAATTTGATCACATTTCAAATTCAAAGTATTTTTCTAATTACACAATAAAATTTTCATTACTTTTTTGTACAAAATTTTATTCTTAATTATTCCAGTGTAATATCTGATTGATCAAATTTTTACATCTCATTAGAAGGTTAATAATTTAAATCTCTCTGCCTACTGCATACAAATATTATTTTTTATAAATTTATCGTGACTTTAAATGTTGTATTGCTAAAAGAAAGGGAAAATATTTGTTAAGTAGCCCCTGTACTTTTTCAGCACATGTTATATGTACTTTTTCTCTTTTTATGCCTCCACCACAAGTTGACCAAAAAGTAACTGAAGAGAGAGTCTAATGATAACTGAAGAAGAAACCAAAATAGCATATTCCCGTATCTTAGTATTGGATTCTTGGCTTTCTCGGGTGATAAACTTTGGCAGGCTCTTTGATTGTGTTTGGTTAAGAGATTTGGGGAAGAATTTGTAAAGGAAAAAGAAAAAAGTGTGCGCAATTATGTAAAATATAGACATGATATATTCACATTTCACTTACCTTTTCCATTTCCTTTTCTAAATCTCTCTCCAAATCCTCCAACCAAACACAGCATTAAAAGATATTGTGGGAAATTCTTTCATAACATGCCAATAAAGACTTCGTTTTTATATGGTACGAATTTCTTTTCTTTTTTTTCTCTTTTTTTTCTTTTTTTTTTTTTACCGAACTTGAATCAAATAAAGCTCACTGTTAGGAATGTGCATTAGTTTTATTGGCTTGTCAATGAACAACATCCAACCTGGAAATTCTTTGATAACATCGCTGCGCGCAATCAAATTTCCATTTAGATCTAGAAAACACTTGACAATATTACAATCACCACTCAATTGGTTTAAGAAATACAAATTGAGGAATTTGTCGAGAGCGATGAATTCCTTAACAAATAAACTGGTAACACTTTCTACACAAAACATACTTCCGGAAGCAGAGTTACTAATCTCCGCGCTGACGACATGGTCTAAAAAACAGTATAGTCGAGCCAATTATCAGTGACCGTTGGCATGTGATCCGTTCTCACAAGCAATACTGGTGGTGTTGGCTCCAGCCTTCTTGGCATAGAATCTTCGGTACATGGAGTCAACTTCGGTGAGATAGTAGGTGCCAGGAGCTAGAAGGCTACAGTCCTTGCTGGTAACAAAGTCCTTGCCTCCATACATATGCTCCATCAGCTTCATTGTTTCGACAAATTTTTCTGGAGGGAACTGCATGAAAATACATGCTTATCAAAATATGACAAAATTGTTAAAGGCAATTTTAAAAAGTTGTTTGGTTTTCATATCTCCAAAATTCTTTTTCAGTTTTTTTTTAATAAATTTTTTTTACTAAACTTTTTTTTACAGTTTAGTCAATTTTTTTTTTTTTTTTAAATGCACCTACAAAGTAAAATGTTCGTGAAAAAATGTTTACTAAAGACAAACAAAAAAAATCAGCACATTTTTTTTTTACGTTGGTGAATTTTTTCAAATTTTTTTACAAATATTCTAATTTTTAGGTGCATGTAAAAAGTTAAAGAACTTGATTAAAATATGAAAAAGGTTCAACAAAAGAATACAAAAAACAAAAAAACTCAAAAATAGTTTTAAAAAACAAAAACAAAAACAACATTAGCAAGTTTTGAGTAGCCAACCACAAGTAGTTGGATTCAAGTGATCACATGAGTGGAAGTAAACCAAAACTGAAGAAAGAAGGATACCTCATGCCTTGACTTCAACTTTTCCCCAACATTCATGACATTTGCAATGTTTGACAAGCTAAACGGAAGTTGACCTCCACGAAGTCGGAAGGAAAACATAGTGGCAGCTAAACCACTGCCATATGAGAACATCAGTACTCGCTGACCTGCCTGGAAGTAACAAAAACAGATAGCAGTTTAGAAGAAAGATTCTAACATATATTTAGGTGTCATGCCAAAGAACAGAAGAAAACTAGTTTAAGCATTTACCAATGAGTTATGCTTGTTGTGAATAAGAGATGCAAATGCCGCATAGATAGATGCAGTGTACATGTTGCCAACTTGCTTTGGTATTAATGTTGCCGGTACCACCTTTGCATCATAAGAAGGCTTTGAAACCTGCTGGGCAGCCTGCAGATACATGACAAGAGAGTCCAATCTCAGGAATCTATGTATTGCAGGTTACAGTCTAGGTAAAGTAAAAGAAAAGAATGTAAGAGACTGGAAATGCATGTTAGGACTCGGAGTCAAAACAGACCTTCTCAAGATCACGGCTTTGGTAGCTTTCATCTCCGGTCAGAGTGGAAAATGGTGCTAGCTTTTGTTTAGCAGCCTCATCAACAGAGCTGCAAGTAAAATCAGACAAGATCAATCACTATGTACAAGTGCATCAAGTGGATAAGTGATGAAAATTCACAGGTTTTATTTTAGAGTGATGAAGATAATATACAAACCTTGCATTCCTCAAGAAGTCATCGAACCACAACCGGGCAAAGCTCTTCTGAACAAGCTGTAGTGATTAAAGTAAAAAGTTTAAACCTCTGCTATTTTTTCAAGTGCTCTGAAAGGTTCGAATGGTAAACCAGAAAGAGAAATTAATTGCACATATTAACAGTATTAAATAAACTACCTTGTTGTATGGAGAGTGAAACACAAAATAGTCAGCATCATCAATTGAAAATTGCTTGCCTTCCAATTTTCCGTACCTAAATAGTTAAGCAAGACAGTTAAGGCATCCACATAGAACATATAATCACCTAGCCACATCAAAACAAAGAGAGCTGCTAGTATTTCGAAAGTAATTTACTTTTGACAGAACCGTGTGTAACAAGAATCAAGTGCCATGAGATAGCAAGTCTGTGAAAGCTTTCCATCAACAACCTACAAAAAGTAATTGTCCACAGATGAGAATACAAAGAATTAGGCTGTGACAAACAAGACACCTCCAAAATACCAAAAAAAGACTTTCACAACAAACAGCCACAACTATTTTGCACGATTGATATTTGCTAAGGCAATGAGTAATGATGTGTGACACTTCAAAATCTTCTGACTCCCGAAGCATTTTTTTTGTGGCTACATCATTATTGAACAGTGCAGGAAGGCATGCAAGAAAGCAGCGTTTGTTAGGAATATAGAACTTCAATGGAATTTGTATGTGCTACTTATCAAATCTATGATATATGCTCTGCTGGTGGTTCTACCATCACATTTTCCATTTTGTGAATTGCATAGTATAAAAACTATATAAAAAATCATAATGCGTTTCATTTTTGTGAAAAAATTCACAAAATACTGAGTTTTCATGAAAGTTGATGGAAGTTCAGGGAGAATTACCGGATATTCACTTGCAAGGTTGGGCTTGTAAAAATCATAGGCATGCGACATATGGCTTCCCCTGAATTTGCTTTCAAATGCTATGGGAGCATCAGGCCCTATAAGCATAGCAATAGCAGCTGCTCCTCCAGTGGGCCGAGCTGGTCCCTCTGCATAGACCTGATAAAGAAATCCCCAGTAAGGAAACAGAACATAATTGCACATGAATGGGTAATGTAAGATCTAAGCCTACTTATATAATCATAGGTGCGCATAGAAAAGTAAACTAATCTGCAGCAGGAAAACATATATATATATATAATAATAAAATAGTAAAATTAAAAAACTCAAGACTCTGAAGTTTCTTGTTAAAGCGATGCTGCAAACGATCATACAAGACTAGGATTTCCAATGAACTACGACTCCCAACACATTTACTTTTGCCTACAGAAATGTGGCAAAAAGAAGCAAGATAACTGGGATATGTCAATGCTAATTATTTGATTGATTGGGATGTTGGGCTTGGAAAAAATAAGTTTCAATTCACTGGTCACATTCAAGGGAGACATTAAAGATCCAAAGGAAATAATCATACCGCACTGTCTGTGCAGACCACAAGTCCATAGCGTCCATCCCATGAACTACTCTCCACCCAATTGACACAGTTGAATAAAGCTGCAGTTCCACCATAGCAAGCATTGGTTGAGTCAACACCTTCGATGTCAGTATTTCCAGTTTCCTGCTTGTTTCACAACACAAGAAAAGAATAAATTTGGGATAACAAAATCAATAGAACATGCTGAACAGCAACAAAAAAAATTCACTGTACGGGAAAATCTACAGCACAAGAGCAAGACAAGCAATCCAGAAATGAACTCACTCAAACTAAAAAAGTTCTTATGATACAGTAGAGGGGCAAGCAAGAGATGTAAACTAGAAACTGAACCCGTAACGAATTTAATCAACCAAGGCTCAGCTTGGAGTGACTTCAGCCATCTGAAACTGCCTCTTAAATCACGTGTTCTACTTCTAGAGGCAAACCTATGGGTAACTTGAGTTTGATTCAATTTTATGCAATCATCTTGTACCTCAACTAACTGAGGGTCCATTATACAGTCTCAATCATGCATCCAGTCATACCAATACCAACAAGAAGATAGGTGATAATGTCAAAGGAAAAGAGCATCACTATGATGTGATAGGGATTGATACCTCAAAGATTTGCATCAGGAAAGTCTTAATGGACTTGCTCTTGTCTATAACAGTCTCGCTGCCCACTTCAAGCCGACCAATTTGTTTTGGATCAACTCCATACTTCTCAAGGAGGGAAGTAACAGCAGTTAAACTGAAAATCACAGAGTTAATAACAAGATAGCATCCATGTAGGTTACAAATATATTGATAGAACAGTACACCATGAATTTAAAGCACATTAGTAGTCAAACATTAAAAAATTAATTAAAAGGCAGACTTGCTTTCTAAATTGACACTAACTAAAGTGAGACTGCTCCAACCATAATGTTATTTTAACCAACATGTAGAGTAAGATACCAGATTGCAGTTGAAAAATGGTCCAAAGAAAAATTAACGTGCAAATAGAGTGAATAATATTTTATTACTTCAATGCAAAAAGAGTCAATAAATTATGAATAAGATAATAGCTAATAATTTGTTGGGAAAGGTTTAGTGATCAGGTTCAATGTGACGTATGGAAGATGAAACTTTAATAAACCTTTGAATATGATAGTCCCTCAATTTAGTAAGTAGAGTTTACTTCTAATAACAGCTTTTCAAGTCAATTACAGGGTGTAAGATCCCATAAAGAGAAAGCAAAGAACGGCTTTAGTGAAGATGGTTGAAATTTGACTAGTTACATGATAATATATTGCCCAAGTACTTTAAATTTCTTAACATTATAATCAAGTAGATATTCCTAAAGGTCAACTAGATCTTCAGGAAGACCTCTGTAGAAGTATGACAACTTAGTTTGGCTTTCAGTTTCATAAGCATAGAAGCCTCTTAAGCCATGACTCTACCAAATAATTGTTAGTAGCCTCTGACTAGATCGCACAGTATGTGTATTTTCTAAAGCAAAATTACATTTGATAATTAATATGAGTGGCAATCATAAATATAGCAATGATGAGATGCGAGTCCAAACCTCATGGAGATGACATCTTCCACCTCTGTACAAAATGCCATGCAATCTTGTCCAAGTCCAATTGTGTATTTCCCTTTACTTGCCCCATCATGAGCCTCCAATACTTCCTGAATAGTACATGTTGCAAGTAAAATTAGGATTTTCAAAAACTGCCTATCTATGTACATTGTTTAGAAGTATGTAATCAAGATAAACAACAAGATTTAGAAAAGATAACAATTGCAACTCCATTTTCTTTTTTCACCAGAAGAACATAGATGATATTTTTACTCACAAATAAACATGAATGTGCATGTACCTAGACAACTAGACATAAATGTGTTTGATCCTACAGCTACCTCCAAACTCTGTGAGTACCCAACAGAAGCTAAACTTGCAAATAATATTAGTAGTAGCACTAATAAACAATACTCAAAGTACAAATAACAATGAGTTTTGAAAGAGGAGTTAATATTCAGAGTTAAAAATCACAAATTCATTGCAGGCCCAAATCTCAGTGTCCAAATATCACAGAACACACCAAAATGCCTAACTTTTAGAAGGATAATGAAGACTTATAAAGCCCAATTAAGTGGAACACCTCATCGATGTGGAACACAGTTTTTTCCATTGGACTTACAGAAATTAACACAGACATGGCACATCACCAAGACTTTTTTATTTGATGTTATAGAAACTAACACACACATAACCAAGAACCAAAGTATTCCAAACTCACATCAACTAGGTGTCCCAGTCAAGTGATTTTTACTAGTGTTAAGAGTATCTAATCCAAGTTCAGCTGGACATCAAGCTAGGAACCTCTATATACCAAACAAACCAATTGTGGGCTGTAACAATTCTGTTATAACTGTTTTACCATCAAGCAGTGACATGTAGTTAGAGTTAGTTACATTAGTTAGTAAACAGGTAGTGTATATATATATATGTGATCTTGTAACTCAGTTGCGTGTAATGAGAATTGAGAATGTTTTGATTTCAATATTTCTACAATAAGTCCCATTACCTCTCCAAAAGCTAAGCACTTTTACTGTACAGTGTGTTAGTTTGAACTTAGCTAAACTCTAGTGTGCAGCTCATGTGAGTTTGGACTTCCTAGGGCCCGTGGTGAAATGTGTTATGACAACATAAATAATAAATTTACCACTCTCTCTAATAACATATGTTTTTATATGAGTAACTATTTGGGAACATCATAAAAAAGTCAAAAGTTAACTTTTAACTCATTTTAGTCACATCACCTTTCACATAAAAAAGTCAAAAAAAATTAAAAAGTCATTTTTTAACCATCTTCTCAATATGATCAATAACTTAATATAATATCAAAGTAGACAATAGATCATGTATTTGAACCTCACCGTCTATGAGATTATTAAAATATTTGTGTTTTCTAAAAGGTAAGAATGGCAAGATTTTGTTGAAGTGATGATTTATCCGGTCATGTCATGTTAGCATCTTCTAAGCTAACTACAATTTTGATATATATATATAACTATTGGTTGAGGATCATTGTAAAGATCATTTGAAAAAAAAAAATACTACTTCAAAATTTTAACCATCTGATTTTATAAAATAAAATTGACGGACAAAATCATTTTAAAACTTTTTGAAGATACTAAAATTGAAGGTTCTTCCTATCAAACTGAGGTGGTTGTCGTCGGTTGGTTGTTTTTTTTTTTTTTCGAATAGTAAGGATAATTGTCCCGACCTGCTTGTAATAAATTTTAGAAAAAAAAAAAAAACAGAGTCATAATGTATAACTATACACACACAAAAACTCAACACGCTAAAAAAAAAATCTAATTGTCATTTAGCTAAAAAAAAATTGTAGCAATTTACAAATAAAATGGCATTGTTGGAGAAGTTGATTATTTATTTTAGTTTTGGCTATTTTATTATGTTAAAATTTTTTGTATTTAGAAAGATATTTGAAATTTTTTATAATTAGATACTATATTTGTGAAAAATAAAATAAAATAATTGTGAATTTAATGAGATATTTTGCCTTTTTAACTATATTAAGCATATTTTGTCATGTTAGTGGATTTTAACCCAAAAAAATAAATAAATAAAAATTCTAAACCCACTTCCCAAACAGGCCAATAACAACAAAAACAACAATCGCGCTTGAGCAAAAAAATTATGAAACTCCATAATTATATATATATGCACATATTCATATATACAGGTATACATATGTCCATATACATATAATTTTCTTCAATTTTCTAAACATGAGGTTAAGTTCCGGACCAAATCTTTATTTTCCACATCATCTCAACTTCATCATTTGCAGAAAAAAAAAATGAAAATGAAAATGATGCAAAACCTGCTATTGGAAGCAAATACAGACAAAGCGTAAAAGCACAAAGTTGGACAGATGAGATTTGTAGATACCTGCCGTATACAAGTAGGAGGGAAGTAGATTTCCATAGCGAGAATTCCAACATTCTTCTGGTGTGAAGCCATGTTTGTCTCTCTAGGCTCTGTCACTTAAAATTCTCGAGAAACAAACAGATCGAAGAAAGAAGAACAAGAAGAGAGGGAAAATCCAGGAAAATCGGAGAGAGAGGGGATGAGAGGCTCATATGTTTCCGTTAGATATATATAGGAGGGGGGAGAGAGAGAGAGATCTCGCTGTGAAATGCAGAGTTCGTGAATTCAGAGCTAGCCCAGGTATGTCACCAATTTGGCCGCCTTTTTTTGTCTTTTTACATTTCTTGCCATTCGTATGTCAAGCTAAACAAGAGTATCGATCAAGCTGGCGTTTTACACGATGGTGGCACGGGGCTGTTTTGCCAACATAGTTTTTAGTCACGTTTTTTGGTTAGTAGTAAAAGTCAAAAGTTAATTTTTTTGTTTTTTTTTCATTTGGAAAGTTGATTTTTAGTCAACGATGAAATTACAATTTTACTCTTCATGGGTCAAAATGTGTTATATAGGTGAAGTTGTAAATATTTTAAATAAATAGAGATAGTTTAGTCATTTTATTATTATTTGACATCATAAACAAATATTAATCAAAAAAGTCAAAAGTCACTTTTTATCAACTTCTCAAATCATTTGTCTAAAAAAGTCAAAAACTTGATTAAAAGCTAAAAAATTACTTTTTACCATCTTTCCAAAACAACCCCAAATACTAATGACCGTCATTTTTGTTGTTCCTCACAGACACTTTTAATTAATTAGGACTTTTTGGGAACTTGCTTAAAAAAGTAAGTAATTTGACTTTTTAATTTTTTTTAAAAAAAAATTACAAAAAACAGTCAAAAGTGTTTAGAAAATTGGTAAAATTTTAATTTTTTTAATTTTTTAATGACTTTTTTTATCTAAAAGATTTTGGATAAAAAAATTTGATTTTTTTAACTTGTTGCCAAAATGTTCCTCAATTTTTTTAGCCAAAAAAAATCAGTAAAAAGTAAAAAAAAAAATCCAAAAAAACTAAGCCTGCGTTTGGTTGTGTTTTGTAAATGTGATTTGAGAGTATGAGTTGTATTTTGAGTTTGTGAGTTGTAGAATTATAATTTAAGTGTAGAAAATTTGTTTGGTTATGGTTTTTAAATAGAGTGTTGAATTGTGTTTTGAAGATGTATTTTGAATTAAATTTTGAATGTTTGATGTGACATGTGAAAGGTGAAAATTTGTTTGGTGATGTGTTTTGAAAATAATTTTCAAAACTTAATTCAACTAATAATTTATCATCAAACACATAACTCATATATTGATGTCCATATTTTTATCAACAATAATAACCAAACTATTTTTAAAATACTTAAATTAAAAATTGATTTTTTTTGTCAATTATTTTTTTTAGTAATTTTTTTTCAAATAATTTTGTCATTTTAAAATAAACCTATGTCAATTATTTTGTGTCAATTAATTTTTCTATCAATTTATTTTTTACGCCTATGCAAACATCTTATAAAATACGTTTTTAATTTTTTTCTAAAATAATTGATAGAAAATCTGAATAAAATCTCACCTTTCTGAACCTTTTGAACCTCACCTTTCTATAAAATAATTGATGCCAATTCATCTTCAGAGAGGAGGACAACCGGCCAGTCATCCCCAAGGTCTACCGGCCGGTCATCCCCAAGGCTTACCGCCCGGTCATCCCCAAGGTTTGATACACAGATGAGGTTCACGTGAAACAGAGACGATGGAAGAGAAGGACATGGAAGCTTTTCAGAAACGTTGAAAGTGGAGATACAAGCTGCCAAACGGATTTTCAAAATCTAATTTGAATTAACATGCTGAATCAACTTTTGAACATCCTATCCAAACGTGAAGCGGGAGTTCACGTGTAGAATCACGTTTTGAATTCACAACCAAACACAGCCTAATTTTTTATTAGCTTCTCAAAGCACACTCAATTTTTCAACCAGTCTAATCAAATGCCTTTTGTACTATCAAAATCTGTCGGGAAGTACTATGATACAGTCCTTTTAAATCATAGTTATCTTTTAAAAAAATTAAGAAGTTAAAAAGTCACTGTTTTATTTAAGTTATATTATTTTTTTATGTCCTCATTTTAAATCTAACTCATATTTTATAAATTTAAAAAGCACACTTATTTAGAACATTCCAAACAACTCTTTAGGATATTTGGCACGACTTAAATAAATATATTTGTTAATTTTTTATAAAAAAATATTAAAAAAATAGAGAAGTAATGTGACTCAAATAAGTGCACTTATATTTATCATGCCAAATAATCCCTTAAAAAATGTCATAACTAAATATAATATGAATTATAATTAAAGAAGAAACGACATAATTAGAATATATATGGTACACTCCTTTTAAAAGTATGCATGTTATAATTTCCCTTATCGGGACTATTGTATTTTGTGTTTCATACTATAAAATTTACACTATATAAGGGTATGCACGGAGCAATTCGGGAATAAAATTATAAACTAAATTGTGAATAGTAAATTGACAAATAATCAAATCACAATTTGGAACAATTTCAATTTGCTAGTTAATTAAAGAATATTCTTAAACAATTACCAAATATTTACATAATATTTTTATATATATATAACACAAATTAATTTTACATAATATTTTTCATATATATAACTACTACTTTCTTCGTCTCAAAATATTAGTCTATTATTTTATTTTTTATTTGTTCCAAAATATTAGTCAAATTTCAAAAATTAAGGACTAAAATAACATAAATTTTTCATTTTGCCTTTCTTTTAAATTCATTAATTATGACAATTAATGTTCTAAAAAAAAGTCAAATAGTAGTTTTGAAAAATTAATATTTTCGAAGTATAATAATTGTACTACCAAAAAAAATTAGATTTCTCAAAAAAAACTAATATTTTGGGACGGAGAGAATAATTTGTAATAAATTTCACATTTAAATTTTTTTCATACTCATTTTTATTTTGATACGTCATTAGAGATTAAGAAAATACATTTTTAACTATTGCAGAACGAATCCATTTCGAATGAAAGATTATACATTTCAAAGTTTAATATGTGGTTAGTGGATGGATTGGTACAAATCAATGGGGATTGGATGATTACAGAGGATTGAAATATATTTTGCACAACCCAAATATTATAGGAAAATTCTATGGTAATACATTGTTTGGGATTTGGAGTGTATACCATATGCACATTTAGTTTATAACTTTTGTCATATTTACTTATGACTTATTGTGATATTAGTTATGATATTATTTTAATTATGATTCAAAACTTTTTTATACCTTATGTGATTTTTGGTTATGATTCATTTTTTGTTTATTTATTTTTAGTTATGACTCTCATATGATTGGGTTATGACATTTGTAGTGGTAATCAACCTTACAAATGACATAACTTGCATATGAGCGTGTATGCTATAGTATTATCTTGTTATATTAACATATATAGTAAATCATAAAAAATAAAAGTATAAATTACACTAATCTCCTTTGAAATTTAAAAAAGAAATACAACAAATGTCACAATTTTAATATAATTATACTAATAACAATTTTAGTAACAAAAATGCTTTAGAGCTCTAATATAGGAGCTCTAATAGCTCTAATGGGAAGGTGGGTCCCACCCTGATGTGATGTTTGTGCCTTGTTTTGTTTTGTTTTTTTGTTTTGACACATCATTAGAGCTCAAATTAGAGCTCTATATTTAGATTAAAAAATTGGCCAAGTGCTAAATAGATTAAAAAATTTAAGGGAACCAGTATAATTATATTAAATTTGTAAGATTTACTATATTTTTTTTCAATCAAGATCAATATGATTTATCTAAAATGTAATTGTAAGAATATAATGTGCAAATAAATACTCACCTAAACAAAATTTGTTTTGTAATAATTAGAGAGAGTTTATACAAGATATATATAACTTTCTTATTTATACCCACAATTTTTTAAAAGGGCCGGGCTTCCCTCCAGTCCCAAATCAGACTGGAGGGTGTTGTTGGGCCCGTGAAAATCCACTACGGGGCCCGTTTCGATAATTCAAACTGTTAAATGTGTAAAACTCGTTGAGTACTGCATGCTTGTAAAAAATCACGTTGATCGTATATCAATAGCTATCTCAGTGGATCAGTTTTCTATCAACTGTTAATTTGTTAACTGTTCATTTTTTTTATACAAAATTGATATCCAATTAACGTGATGTTTTTTGGACATACAGTGCTCGACAAGTTCTACACATTGAACGGTTCAGATTATCAAAACGGGACCTGTGATAGGCCTCCACGGATCCAACAGCACCCTCTAATTCGATCTGGGATGAGAGGGAAGCTACTCTCTTTTTAAAATAAATAACTTATACATTTTGTTTTGATCTTAGATTTATAAGATGAAAGAAAAAATAGAAGAAAGATGGAATAATTTAGCTTTTTCTCTACCTGTTTTTCCTTCACTATAATTCCTCAACACATACAAGCATTTATTATTGTATAATTTTTAAAGAATTGTTTGGGATGAATTAAATAAATATATTTTTTGATTTTTTATAAAAAAAATATTTAAAAAAATAAAAAAATAATGTGATTCAAATAAATATATTTATTTAAATAAATATACTTATTTAGTTTATGTTTACAATTTTCCACAAGTTATATCATAAGTCTTCTTGTAATTGGCATCATCATCGCCATCATCATAATTGACTACTCGCAGGGATGAGCAATGTCACAACGGGGTCATGTCCCGACCCCCGCCCCCCTTAAGAAAAATGCCTAAGAAAAATGCCGAAGACCCCAATGGGTCACTGTGGTCGTTCGTGTAGAGACATCATTCATTGGTCTAAAAAAAATTATTATTATTATCTTTTTTTTTTGTTTCAACGAACGAATGGGGGTCCGCCACGTCACTGGGGATCGACCCCCACTGGGGATATTTAGCAGCGCTGCCCTCCTTAAACATTTATATTTATATTATTATTTGTAACTTTTATATTTATATTATTATTTGTATACATAAAGATTATATATTGTTTATCTGTTATACAATTTTAAAAATATTCCGTCTTATATTATGTAATTTTTTTTTGTAATTTTTAAATTTTAAGAAACTTCTATTTTATTTTTTTATCATTATTGTACATTCTTAACTAGCCATCCATTACACTATCATTAAAAAAAAGTTTTATTTTTTTGTCATTATTTTTTTCTTATTTTACACATTACAAGTCTAATTATCATCTATTACATGATCAACATTCAAACACATAATAAAAATTAATTTGGTAATAAATAAATGTGTAAAAGATTTATCAATTTTACATAATTTT